AAGCAATAAAAATTTAGAAGAGGTTGAAGGTTACACACTGGTTAGTGGTGAAGGTTCTTCCACTAATATCACTGGTTAACAGTACTGTTATAACCGCAATGTGGAATGCATGGTGCTGCATTTAAAGGAAGTGGTAAGGGTGGGGCAAAAGCAGTAGGTCCCACGATCAAAGCACTAGAGCATTGAATTTTACTTATAACCCAATCACTGACACCCACACAGCAACTTCCTGTACTTTAAAAAAAAAAAAAAAAAAAAGGAAAAAAAAAGAAAAAATCTGTTTCTCTCTTTTTGTAATCAACAACTTTTACCTAGAAACTAGTTAGCGGTGAACTCTGACTGATTTCAATCTGCAGCTCATGGCAGAAAACATAATTGTTAATCTGTGAGAACATACAAAAAACATTTTAACTGACAGGTTTCAGTGTATCAGCTCTTACAGACTTTTTTATTCTTAATTACACAAAAGTCCTACAAAACCCAAGAACTAGTGTAAGAAATATAAAGCGACCAGAAGTTCAGTAGTGCTAAACACTACAGGTAATCCTCTATGACAGAAAATAAAATGTACTTATAAATCTACAAAACTTAGCTATGTTTTAGGACAGCTTGAGAAAATAATGTGCACTGGAATTTAGATCCCTGTCACAGGGCACCTTTGCTTAAGTATGTCAATATACACTACTATTATTTTTGTTAATATAAGTAACTAATATTGTCTTGTTTTCCATTTATCATAGCCCATTATGCAAAGCACAGGCCTGTTTATATCTGGATAATTTTTTGGTGCTTTTTGAGCATTATTCAAGATACAGCATCAATAAATATAGAAAACCTTCTCTGTGAAGAAACCTTCAAGTTCTCCAGTACCACTTGGTGAATATCAAATTACTTCAGTCAAGTCCCAGGGGAGCTGTACGAAACCTAATGTCCATTAGGAACTTCATGGACTATGAACACATTCCTGAAGAGAAAGAACATGCACATACTCCCTTGGGGATTTTTATTAGAACAGTCTAGTCAGAAAAGCTAAAGAGCTTCTTAGCTGATCTTCCTCAACCTAAAAAGAGAATCTTAAACCAGGTAAGGGACAGAGATACTGATTTTTCAAATCTTTGCATGTAACAGATATGTTGGAGCTTTGATGTACACTGGTATCCAGGCTTGCTGCTTCTGAAACACCTTCTCTTGTCATCCTCTATTTTTATTCACTGATTTATTAGCCTTCCTCCAATTCTTTTTAAAGATTCTGCACTCTACCTTTAAATAGTTAGCTTGAAAAAACACAATAGAGCATTTAATCAGAAAAACAAACATAAAAAATTTCTCTTGGACCAAGCAAGGATCAGTTTAAGACTTTGTAACATCTAAAAGGTCTTGAAAGACTTTGGTTCAAAAAGGAGTGAGAAAAAAGGAAAATGATTTATGAAGAACAGAACAAGCATAAGCCTGAGATTCAGCTTAAGATACAACTTTAAGGAAATAATCTCATGATTGTCATCCCGTCTCTTAACCTTAGTTTTTGAGAAGGGAAAGATATGGATCTCAAGAGTGTCTAATCCATGCCACACAGTAAGTGTTTGCCAATCCTTGCCAGATAGTAACAACCACAGACAGCTGTGAACTGAAGTATCTGCTAATAGTCAACAGATCATAGCTGCTTCTCAATGTCCAAGCTTTGAAAAAAAACAAACACAAAACCAAACCAAACCAACCAACCAATCTTCACTTTACAAGCAGCCAGCAAACAGGTCAGGATTTCTAAGGCCAGACAATGATTACCCACTGCCATCCTGCTACTGACAAAGCTGGCAGTAGCAGAAACATTCCCTTAAGCATGGTATGAAGACTGTCTCCAGAGCCTTTATATGACAGCAGCTAATTTGAACTACATACTCCTTTTACAGGTTTTTCCAGGTACATCTGAAGGCCTTTTGATCTGACCTTCACTAAGTGGTAAACCCGCTATGTCTGAAGTGTTTCCCTGGCCCTGTGTTCAGTTCCAAAGGTTTGCTCTGCCTTTGTCCTCGTGAAGAAATGAGACCTGATGCACAACTCCTCATTCATCTGGACAAAACATAGACACGTGGGCAAGAGGGGAACTGTGGCACACTTCGGCCACACCCTGATCATCCAGGACACCCTGCAATACCTCAATGGATCGATCAGAAAATGCTTGCATGTCACATAACTCCTAAAAAACTTTGCATATAGAAAAGCACTGAATCAGGAACAATCCCTGGCAGATTTTGCTAGTTTTCCCATCAACAACTACTTGGAAAAACAGAGAGCTTTCAATGCTCTGCAAAAATATTTAATAGTATTTTCTACTTGACTGTAGAGTGTTGAAGACAAGTAAAGCTTTATATTAGATCTTCATTGCACCTGCATAACAAAATGCAAGAAAACCATACAAGTGCTTTTCCATATTAAAAATCCCCCCCAACAGAAAGAACCGTTTTACTAAAAAAAGTACAAACTGGGAACAGAAAGGCAAACTGCAGATTTGCCTGGTAATAACTAGCATTTATTCATCCTTCAGCAAGATCTTTATCACCTACTTGTTTTTTAATTAAACAGACCAATGAGAAAGGTAAGAAACAACGGAAGTTTCTTGTCTGTTGTTTGTTTTCTGAGCAGCGTTCCCATTTCTAACACGCACTTACATGCCTGTATCTCTTGCTAGCATCACAGTGTATTACTATATAATTTCTCATGCTTTAAGTAACCACTGAAGATTGCCTTAGTTGTGGAAGGAAGGGAGGAGTATAACTGCATAAGCACATGAGGCTCATTTGCTTTAAAAAAAACCCTGCTTTGTTTCCTCCTTAGTCTATTTTATCATAACAACATTTGCTTTTGGTAGAGCAGCGGAACCTTACAAATATTGTGTCTCCCAAGAAGAGGGGAAGGTACACATTTAAACAAATTTTTTAAAAGACTGATTAAAGGCTGAGTGCACACGTCTAAATTCAAAACGAATTATTAAAGCTACATGTTCTCCAAAATTCCTCAATATGTACACAAGAGGGAATGAAGAGACACAAATTAAAAAAAAAACCATACAGGTGAGTCAATCCTATGGCATGTATTTCTCATCTTTGCTGCTACTATTACACTATTTGCTAGGAATAATCATGTTTCGAACATGAAATAAAAAGAAACCACATGAAAGAGATAATATAGGTATATTTAGTATTTGTTTGACTCATTCAACTTTATATAGGCCCTTTAAACACTAAATTATTTTATGTAGACATTTCTTAAAAAGAAAAAGATGGCCACTTACATACTTTCCTTGAAAACCAAATGAAGAAAGAAAAATAACATCTTTCACAATGGCAAATAAGATTACCTTCAGCTTTTATATTTCTGCTTTTATTCATTTGTGTCCTATTAGTTGATATTTGTCAAAGGCTCTCTAGTACCTCAACAGTAGAAAATATTTACACAAAGCAAGCATGGAACAGACTTCAAGAACTTTTCCACAATCCTAGAGCATTTCCTGACAAATTTTCACCAATACTCACCTACACAGAACCACATTGTTTGATTTCATGGTTTTAGTGTGCATGCCCATCTCTTGAGCAATAAAATCATAGTAATAGGAACAAACTACTACTGCATAGGAATAGGAACAAACTAATGCTGCTGCAATGGCCTGCTTGTAAGTCTACTGTATTAAATAACATTTTCCAAACCTCGGATCAACCTACGGGATAGCTAATGGCATCTTCAGGATACCCCGGTAATAGAAAGCACTTTTCACGTTATCCAAGGAGCTAGTTCTAGCATAACTGGTTTGCAAAACCAGCCAGATCAACAATACCTGTTATAAACAGGATGGGTGCAGGATGCATGCTTTGCTCCAAAACACAACAGCAGAAAGGTAGACAATCCACATATTTAGACAGGGAGACATCAATAATGGATCTGTTTTCTTTGTATTATGCTTCCTAACACTGTCAGTGGATACATGAGAATACTAGACGTTGACCCACATGTTTGGTGCAAAATTATGTGCCTATTCATAAGCAGAATCCAGCTTTTTTTTTTTTTTGAGCCAACTAAATGTTCACTGCTTGTATTAACTGACTTACATCACTGTTGTTAAAAGGAGACTTGAAACTAACAGCTCTAAGCAGCTTCAGTTCTTAAAACAGTTTCACTGGTATCTGAATATTTTGAAAATCGACTCTAGGGCGGGCGAACAAGTATAAGTTGAATTTCCATTAAAAGAGATCTTATTTTCAATTCAGGAGATTCATACATTTCTAAGATTAATTTCCATACATAATGGACTTGAAAGCAGGAACAAGCCATATATTCAGAAAGTGTTCTATATTTAATTAATGCAGCAATGCGTGAATACAAGAATGATCATACCTGGACAGATCAGGACAGGCCTATCTAACCCTGTACCCTGTTCTTGTTAGTATCTAGTGGCAGATGCCTCAGGAAGAACACCAAAACAAGGTAAAGATAGAGCCATGCTTCAGACTACCTTGCAGACATTCAGCAACCCAGGAGCCAGAGAGAGTACTTTGGCTTTTGGTAGACCCTGTTGCCCATTGGATTTTTCTTCTAAGAATTATCCAGGGTTTTTTTAAGCCCATTTAAACTTTTTTGCATTCACCGTATTCTCTGGCAAAAAAAAAAAATTCCTAAATTTAGAGTATTGTATAAAAACAAACCTCTTTGTTTATTTTGAAGATGCCATTTATTAATCTCTTGGAAAAGACAGAAATTTTTTTCCCCATTTTTCCCTGCCACAAGTGATTTTACAGATCTGTTATACCACTCGCTAATGATCTGTTTTCCAGTCTGAAAAGTTCCAGTCTGCTTTACTGACAATTTCTGCCGATTTACTAATAATCTCATACCTTCCTCCATGGTTGAAATATAAGGTAATGAGATAGAAGACTGTCAACTTGTCCTTGTGTCCAATAATATACAGGAAATTGGGGGAACTGGCTATTAAAAAAAGAAAACCACCTTACCACTGGGTGGCTTGGGTCGTGGAGGGACATTTTTCTTCGGTGGTAACGCTGGTGTGTCTGATTTGCTTTTGAAAGGGTCATCTGAGAATCCAATGCCTCCAAAAGAGGAGGAGAAGGGGTCTGAAGCTACTGACTACATGAGAAAAATGAAAAGAAGAAGAATGTAAGCACGTTGTTGAATATCTGTTGTTTCATGAAAGCTACAAGTTAACTCAAGTAAAAGCATTAACATCAAAAAATGAGGACAGATTTACAGAATTATGTCAGTGGTGTAAGAGGCTAACGCCCACTGACAGAGGTGCTAGGATTTCACTAACATTCAAAAGTACTTATGCTCTTAATCATTTAAGTACTTCTAGAACTTTTAGTCCTAGCAAAAAGCTGATGAGAAAAATAAAAGGAAGTAAAACTCTGCTTTTTACTATTTGGCAATGAACGGTCATACTACAGTCTGGCCTTCACTCTGATAAACAGAACCATGATAGAAACTGGAAAAACATGGTAGATTGCAGAATGGATAGCTTTTTTGCATGCTTTTCTTAAGTTACACACAGCTATTTGTCTTTTTTGTAAAAGCTCAGGGAAAATTCCAAACCCGTATTTTTTAATGTTTCCTATATTCAGCTGGGTCTTGTGAAGGACTCTCCTATTGACTAAAAAAGGCACAAAAAATTACACCATACAGGGAAATTTATCATCCTGAAATGAAGAATGTAGGCAAAGCTAAAAGCTCGCAGTCAGACCTTTGCTAAAACGTCTGACTCAACCGAAACACATCAATATTTGTAAAGACTGCTGCCACCTAGTGGAGAGCTAAAACCCTCACAAAAACCAGTATGAAAAGTTAGAAAAAAATACAAGAAGATTAATTAGTCAAGTGATACGATAATCTATTTTCTAGTTAACATTTACTCTACAACGTTCAAGCATTTTTGTGGAACTAAGTGTAAAAAGTTGGGCCACTGGTATCAACTGTAAATTCCAAACTGCATCTCAAAGCTAACAGCAAGCAGTCTGTGACTGATCCAGATGAGGAGGTAAGGACCTAGTCCTATTTGAAATACCCGATATACTCAGTTTATACCAAGAAACCAAGGAAACAGCAGTTCTGTTAAGAGCTATGAAATGTCAGCACACCATGTTTTCCACCTTCCCCTGGTTCCCTGTACTCATGGAGAAGTTTAAGAACAAGTCAGGATACAATGAGAGATGAAGTATCCAAGAAGCAGACTTCAGGACTTAGAGGAAGGTTGGACACTGAAATATATTCATATCTGCAACAACTACCTTTTCTTACAAGTAAAAACTAGAACTTATTTCATTTGCTCCTCTGGTATTTGAAAATGTTTGTGAAAAGTTGATTTATCCCTGCTGAATCTACCAGTCTTGGTAAGACTTTGCCATATCTGAGACGGAAAATGCTTTGCTAAGGTGAGGTTGATCGGAAAAAAATTAACAAAAGGGAGTTGTCAGCTGAAAAGTTACAATCATATCACACCCTTAGAAAAAAGTATCTGTACATAAATTTTTAAGAGGACAGTTGCTTTCCTTGTAAGCTTTACCTTTGACATCTGACTGAAGTCTGCAAACCCCTCACCACTACTAAAAGTACCACTTCCAAATGGATCCAGTGTTCCAAATGGATCTGAAACACATACAGGAGAAAAAAAAGTTATTTAAAATAATACTTAAGAATTATAAAGAATGCTTAGCACCAATGAAGTACAAAACTAGGCAGGTGATTAAAAAACACTTGCATTTTGACTTGGTATGAGATGTTAAAAGAGAGTTCCATAAAACAATAGTTTTTCTACCAGTTGTCTGGAGGACGGGGTGGGGGGGAAGGTGAAGTATATAGTGTACATGAAGACTTAATCTTCATAATCCGTAATAGGACCGCAATGACATTTGCCAATAGTTCACAAGACACTTTCTTTATTCTCAACTTTTACGTTTGATTCGTCTTTCATAAAGAGATACTTCCTTATTCATCTTCATGAGAAAATTTTTACCTTCTTACCTGGACCTTTTGAAGAGATACTGGAAGACGTGAAAGGATCACTGCTTTCAAAAGGGTCAGGCTAAGTAAGAACAGATATACATAATTATTGTTCTGCTGTACTGTGCACTTGTCATTTTATGCATATCAAAATCTCTTGCTTTAAGACAAACTATTTCCAATTTCAGATCACTCTGTTCAGTGGACATATAGTAGGATAAAACAGACTGATTATATGAAATTTGCATTATTAGTGCATTTGGCTATTGATAGCATTGAACAAAACACCAAGTACCTAAAAGTGAAACACATTCAGGTGAAAAGTGCATCACACTGAAATACAAGCAATATTAGTTACCAGGGCAAAATAAGAAATTACACCCGGAAGTGTTCAGTCTTTAAGCAACAGAGACTGAATTTCAGGTCAGGCATTTACATTATTATCGATTCAGAGAGTCTGTATATCGCTTCTTTTTAAATAGATGGTGTTTACAGTTGCTCTTCAGTTTGAAAAGTCTGCTGTTATCTAAGTACAAACCTATATTGCAAGACAAACTGACCTCCCACTGACTGATACTGGAATACTGTTCTAACACTTGGGTGGCAACTGTCAATGAATGCCATAAAGGTGAGAGAAAGGATTAATTAAAAAACAAGAAAAAATCCATGCCCTCCCCCAAAACAACCACACATATACATGTAAGGACAGCTTAAGAACTGTGACTATACATTTGACAAACGTGTTCTGTGCAGTCCTTCCACTGTGTTGGCTCTATTGTCTGTTGGTGGCTCAGTAATCCTTTAGCCAGATCAGTTCCTCGATCCAATTCACTATGTGACTGCACAAATAGAAACATCGATGGAATGGAGGTAATGGTGTGAATGAGTGGGTGCTGGTGGGTTGAAATTCTCAACAGAGGAAAAAAAAATCCACCTAATTGCATCTTCATGGTGAATATACATCATTATCATGGAACTGGAAAGAACAAACTGCTGATTGCCTTAACGATCCATACTTAATTTTAATACAAAAATTAATCATATTTCATCAGTTAGGAGAAAAGTATTTAATGATATTTGGTTCCTTTTAGCTTGTCAATAGTAAAGAAATCTATTATGTGTAGATTTAAAAATTACTGACCTTTGAGGGTAAAGTGGGGGGTTTTGTGAATGGATCTGAGGTAAACGGGTCACTCTTCACCTGTTTCTTGAAGAAATCCTCAGGGGCAGAACTACGAAATGGGTCACTTTCCTTAAACGGATCACCTCCAAATGGATCTAGAAGGAGTATTAACAGGTAAATAGAATGTAGCACCTGGTGTGTCCATAATGAACCATTCTATATTTGACCTCACACTCTCTGACGTAATTTTTCTTATAAAAACACACAATGATTTGGTAAATCTGATAAACTTTCAGATACCTCTGTAAACAGGGTATTCACTGAGTTTGAACAAGTACATGTTTATATTGAGGTTATGGACTTAGTAAAGAGTTACACGCATGTTATTAACATATTGATCCTGAATGCACACTCTGCCAGGTTTCTAAGTTCCCACATGCAAACCAAAAATCTGAAGCCAGGGAAACCTTGGAAATCTTTTTGTTTAGCTACAAATTGTTTATATCACATCTGTCCTGTCATCAAAAGGGCTATTACCTGCTGGAGCAGGTGGTTGCTCTGCAAAAGGATCATGCTGGAATGGGTCACCTATGCAGAATAGAAAAATCATTTGTTTTATCCACTATTTAGCAAGATGATAAAAGTTTGTGGAAATATCATTTACTCAACAATTGGGTCTTCAAGGTCTCAGTAAGCCATTGGTCACTTACTGCCTTTGAAAGGGTCTGCTCCCTTAAATGGATCAGATTTGAAAGGATCTTCTGACTGGAATGGATCTGTATGCAATTCTTGTGTGTTATTGGTAAACATCAAGGCTTTATTCTTAAACGGATCATCCTAAAAATTAAGAGGAGAAACATTACAGCAACTTACCATGATTAAAATGCTCAGTTAGCCATTTCGCAGAAATTCTATGGTGTCTTGGTTCCTGTTTAATGATCTTAAAAATGACTTCCTAAAGAACTTTCTGAGTAAGTGGCTTTTAAGCAGAAGAAATATGTAGCCTGAGGCTACACAGAACATCAAAAGTATATACAGATAACAATAAAAGGTTAAACTGTTTCTCATATTAATATATTCAGTTCTCAAATACTTAAATAACAAAACCAAACAAAAACCTCAACCACCGCACTATCCAAAAATTCTTCTCTCCCAGTTATTTTACAGCTTAGCTTCAAGTAAGACAGTTATTTAAAAGAAAAGGATCCACAAATCATTCGTGGACTACATTACAAGAAATTACTACTGAGTAGTCATACTCAAGATTGCTTCTTGTGAACTCACTCTTGAGCTTAAAGCTCCAAGTACTGATTTCATATTACAAAGCACTACACAGCAGGAAGAGTAGCACCCCAACTTTTTGATGGTAGAGAGGTTCGTAAGCGGAGGCCGACCTATAGCTTTGCCAAGTTACAAAAAAAAATGCAGTGTGAACAAGTAGCAAACTAAAGTTATGAAACATCTTCATCGCATTCATTTGCATCTCATACCCCTGTCTTTTATCCGTTTTGTGTCTCTTTGATGAAACCAATCTTTGCCACAGTAGCCATATGTGCTCTGCACAACAGAGCTCCATTGACAATCAAAGCCATTCGACTCGTAACGTAAAAAATATCTAACAACAACTACCCACTTACACTGCCTCCAACACCAGAAAGACACGGGATTTCTGTCATCCCTTTACAAGATGCAAATGAAGAAGTCTTAATTAATACTTCTCAGAACAACAGGGAGGGAGGTGGGGAGAGGAGGAAGAGGAAGGAAGAATTAAGAAACAGGAAAGGGACATAATGGTTTAAAAAATTTACTATGAACGTATACTGGAGTTTTCTTCGTAAGTGATTCTTAGGTTTTGCAAATAAGAGAAACATCTGGAAGTTTCCACTGGAAATTAAACACAATGTTTATGCAAGCCATGCAAGCACAGAAAGTAAGTACTGAAGTGTTTTCAGACCACGCCTCTCAATGTATTGTTGTTCTTAATCTACACTTCTCCTCTTTCGAGCATTTTGTTTTTACAGAGAAAGGGTAAGCAGGGCATACAGGTAGCATGCCTGCTGAATATTTATTAGTATACTATACAGGATATATTTTTAATTTCATACTAAACCTATAGTAAATACTGTGCTTACAAGGATTCTGGAAAGTATGTTTCCCTAATGAGGAAGCAGCAAGTAGATGTGCAAGTAGAATCAAGCAAGTACGCGAATTTTATATTTGAAGTGAAGAAATAGGCTTAAAAAATTAAAAATCTTGTGATTTAGAGTAATTTATTAAATATCCAAGTCAACAATATATACCCAAAAGAAATGGACTGGAAAAATCTTTAAGAACCTGAAGGATCTAATGAATTGGGAAAAATACTGATTAAAAGAAAACATAATAAATGAGACAAATTATGCTGGAACCGTTTAAGCAGAAGAGAAGAGAACTATCTATGTATTTTGGGAAGGGAACGTGTTTCTTACCGAAACATGTAATAAACACAGCTCACTGCAAAGGAGAAATTTCTATAGCTTCTTTTGGAAATAAGAAAGAAATACATGATTAAAGGGAAGTTTACAGCAAGAGAAGGTGTCACCTTGGTAAACCAGAGAACTTGCAAGAAAAAACCAAAACACTTGAACTGGAAATAAAGTCCTACCTACTTCCTGAGACTAAAGATGTGACAGGTTACAAATCAAGCGTTAACCTTTTCTTTTTGTTCCATAATTACAGTTTGCTTACATATCTATACTGTTACAGTTACAGAGGCACAAAATCCTAGCACAAGATCTAACCCAAAGCTTAAAAATCAGGTTTTCCACCAGCATTAAAATCTTTGCCCTGCCTTGCACCGGAGATTGGTACCTTGCAGGGATCATGGTATTTCCTAACATACCACAAGTCAACTAAACAAACATCTTAACTATTTCAGATTAGGTGCAAGTCACAAACCTAGTTATTGTAAAATACACTAAACAGCAGTAATTTTTTTTTTACCATAGCTCCATAATTGCTTCTTTCCGTCTGCCCAAGGCCTTCACTTATGTCTGCTAAATTCGTCAGACTACCACCGTGAACCCCATTGAGAGCTTCATTATATTCTTCTATACTCTTATTGACTTCTTGATGACTCTCTTGAAGTTGAGAAAGTTTACTTCTTGCCTAAGCAGTGAAAAATGCTTTAGTATATTACACATTCAATAACACTGTCATTCTCGCATTCTCGCAACATGGTTGCCAGACAGTTGCATTTTCCCCCCCACCAGAGTTGAACTTTTCCTGACTCAAACTGGGAATTAATCTACTAAGCACCAGTCAAAAAGGCTTATTTCATGAACCAGTATTTTTTTCCTCTTCTGAAAAATAATCTTTCTAGGTGATGTTCAACTCTTAGCCTTTCAAGAAGCAAAAAAGAAGTTGTATAAACTACAGTGAATACCTGGTTTATTTCTTCCTGTGTTGATTTTAAAGATTTGATTATTGTTTCAAGCTGCACTTTTCCAGCCTGGATACTCTGCTCCAGCTGAGTCTCTTCTTGCTGGAGGCGATTCAGCTCTGCTTTTGCTCTATTAAGGTCATCTTCCTGTAATTTTAAATCTGACTCCTGAGATTGAATCTGCATTTTTAGTGACGAAATCTGAAACAAAATGTTACAAAAATCAGAGTAAAATTTGAAATAAATGTAACTTAATAAATTATGAATTTATAATAAATAATACAAAGTTGTAAAACAACCTATCAACTGCTAAGGAAGATAACAAGAACTTAATATGAAGAATATGCATGCTTCTTATTATGTTATACAAAATCCTTGATAAAAGCACATAGGACATTCAATAAAACCAAGAAATATTAATATTCTAAATGACAGAAATACCACACTAATTATAAAGGTAATTAAAAGGTGTTTCTTAGATGGTTACCTTGTAGTTTTCAGAACTTGGCTCCTTTTCCATTCAAACATTTATCAAATATTATAAAGTTGATTTTTAATTCTGGTAAGAGTTAAAATCACACAGTTGCATATGACTCTCCTTAAACACTTTATTACATGACCTTTTAGACTAAATTTCTATATTAAGATAACATGCTAGCTACATTGGCAATTGTATCTCCCTGAAAACCCACTTTTAACTCAGGGTACTGACGAGGTTCACAGTGATCAAAATATGCACCACTGCCCATGGACTGTCTTATGGGTCAGGAATGATGCTTCTCAACTACCCTGTTAGGCTGAATAACTGTTTCATATATTCACAGAACAGTAACAGTTTATGTAGAAAGGAACCCCTGGAGATCACCTGATTCAACCCCCCATTTATGACCATTATGGAAGTTATTTATGTTAGCAAAATCCTTTCTTGGACCTCTGTATTTGTGTGGAAATTGTTATTTATGGTAAAAATGAATAAACAAAGCAAGCTTATTCACTAAATGAATAGAATTTCCTTCAACAAGACACAATACTCTTGAGCATGTCCAGAATTAACGTACACTCACCACCTGTGTTTCTTCCTGGCATTTCTGCCTTACATCATTCAGCATATCTTTCAGTTTGGCTTTCTGCTGATCCATTTCATCCAGGCGGTCTTGGGCATCTTGTTTCTGAGCCTCTAGCTCTTGCAAGTTACTTGTCTCCCTATCTAAATCATTTTGCAGTTCCTGAGGAAAATTCCACAGTTTGTAACTTACATTTAGCTGTTGTCTTATAGGAATTATCAACCACAGACAAACAGGCTAGCAGACTCCAAAAGATTTTCAGTGTCACATAGGCTATTCCCTGCATGCATATGTTTTGTTTCTGCAGGAACTTGTATGAGGCATCAGGAAACAAATCAGTGCCCACAAGATGGAAAGAGACTGTGACACAGAGCACATGTAATACTTGCCCAGAAGCAACATAAGAAAAGATAGAAGAAAGAATGCTTAATTCCCCATATATTATTTCAGATTAAAATGAAAACTAATAATGATAAACAGAGTTTTTACCTGAACTTCATTGGTTTTCTGTCTGATTGATTCTTCCTTTTCCCTAATGTCCTGCTCTAGCGAATATTTTTCTCTGTAAGATAAACAAGCACATGTATTCATGACTAGTTAAATAATACAACATACATGTGGGCACGCAAAAATCAGTTGAAACACCACGCAGCCAAAAATGCCAGCCCATATTCTGATATATTCTTTAAAGGAGTAAAGGTGTACACATACTAATTATTCTTTGAAAAATACTATCTATTCCATAATCAATCTTTTGAAGTCACCTGGTAGAATCCAGGCTGGCTTTACGTAATTGGCTAACCGTAGGGTATCAGTGGGAGATTTAACTTCAGTGACAAATAATGATAAACTGACTAAAAGAAAACAAAAGTAACGGACACATCAGTACTATATACTTTATTGGTTCTCTTACTCCAAGATTTTGTTAATAGTCCACAACTATTACCTCTGCAGCTGTGCAATTTCTTGACTAATATCATCCAGTTCCTTCACCCCTGTAAATTCTCCTGATCCAATGGAACTTGAGCTATCCTGTTAAGAATGAAGTAGTCTATTAAAACACCAAGTCACAACAGAAGATCTTTCTTTACAAAGGCTGAGGACAAAGGTGGGACACAATCCTTATTATATGCATTTGCAAAATTTTATGGGAGACATCAAATTATTATGCAACAACCACTGAGCATGCCACACAATTCTACCTGCAAGACAGGAGAATCTTCTCTATGCCCATTTAACAGATGGGATAGTCAAAATACACATTATTTGAAGGACATGCACAATGTCAACAAATAAACTGCAGGCCATGGTAGAATTAAAATTCAACAACTAAAAACCCAGCTCTGCTACAGTCAATAGTAAAGCTTTCAGGGAACTTAATGAAATCAGATTGTAATTTCAGTCTTCTTGAGCCCTGCCACAAATTAATGCCAATTTCTGCAATTATAACCAACTTCCTGCAGTGCAGGTCATTTCTACAGTCATTCACGTGTAGATCAGGGAAGATGCAGAGGGTATCCCTTGCCTTTCAGGCAAGAAAATTGTCATTAGAAGTTCTTAAGATAAGATCTCCGCATTTGTACAAAATTTGTCATTATTACAAAAAGGATTGCTAGATCTTTGAAAAAAATCACTGCAACTGAGCAAAAACTGCAACACTGTACTCACTGTTAGTATGACAAATCAGGAGACCTACCATTTTTAAATAGCATTTTAAAAAGAAGTACAGTTCGCTTACTTTGCTCAGTTTGAGATTGCTGTGATAACCACAAAAAGTCTGGCTTTATTCAATATAAAAAAACCCCCAACAACCCAACCAACAAACCACAAACAGATAGCATAGTACAATGTGACATTTTTTGCAGAAACAATAGGTGAATATCCAGTTTAAATAAGCTAATTAAGTCCTCATTTTTGGATGAGTATTTCTTGTGTTAATATGCCATTAAGTAATCATAAATAACAACAACAATCCAGACTAATTCTTCAACCTAGCTAATCAAAAGCTTCTAAAATCACTTTTATATTTTCAGACTAGATACAGATTTGCTGAGAGACCTGTACTGTATGCTGTTCAGGATCATAAGGTGTTACCCAATTTGATTATGGAATAAGTTAAAATAAGCTGATGCATTGTTTAGGATTACACAGTTCATTGTTCCACATGAACTGAAAACTAATCTGCTATGTTCACAGTAACATACAGTTTATTTCATGTTATATTCAGCTAAAACCACAGTAGATGAAAAAAAGATCCAATGAACTGAAAATGATGGGAAGCTTAAAGCTCTCGCACCAATGTATATTTATTGCCCACAGCTTCAGAGAACTAGTACACGAGTAACTTTAACATGTCAACCCTGAGTTGCCTGCCAAAGAACATCTCAACAGACCAATGCATCTCAAATTGTTGAAGGAAGCAATATCACTGGGTCAACAGCCAATACTGGTAACTTCACACTACTGTAACATTATCATCATGCCAAGAGCAAGTGTCACAGAACACAAGAGCAAAGACAGGAGAAGGTGTAGAAATAAAAACTTTTAAAAAGTTACAAGTAGTGTATGTAAACAAATTTGCATTCTTTTGGACATCACAATTACTCACACGACGCATTTCTGTTAGTGCTGAGATCTCAGTTCCTACAGGGGTCAAGTAACCTGACAGAGTCTATAGAAAAAGGATATAGGAAAAACCTTAAAAGGACCAGAGCAACAGCAACAAGTAAAATATATTTAGAGGCTCAAAAGCTTTCTGGTTAGGGAAAGTAAAAAAGTAAAGGAAAATACTATACAATTTATAGAAAAGATGAATGTATTGATATGACAGAAGTATTTATCAATTTAAGTTTCAGAAATACACTAACATGCTATTGAGGAAAGGAACAAAGCAGGGTTCAGTAAAAGATTAGATGCTCCAGTAAAATGGTATTAACAGTGATGGATATAGGACTACGGACTGTCATGCTACAAGGGATGAATCAACCACCAATTCCCAGAAACTAGGAAGTCATCACTCTTCATTTAGCCATTAAAAAAATTTTACATTTTCATGGGAGGAATTTGGTACTGATCAGAGTCGAGGACAGCTTTTAACAGTTGCTTTTAACAATTCCCTGAAGTTTAAGAAAAAAAAAGCCTTCCCTATGACAAAGGAGTATTTTTCATGCTAGGCTTTTCTCAGCATTATTATTCCTTCATTTATGGAATATGCTACTGCATTCTTCTTTACTTACTGTCTTGTGTTGTTAAAAATATGTATATTTTCAGATGTTAAAGAATTTTGTAAGAGGAGATAAAAAAAAATTGGCAATTCTCTACCATAATATTACAAAAAAAAAGTTACAAAATTAATACTCAAAGCCCATTACTTCAAAGCACATAAGCTCAGTATTATCTACAAATAATCAATGACTTACCTGTATGGGAGTGTTCCTCTCTGTGGGAGGGATCATATCTGGGGACAATACTTGTGGAGGATCAATCCCTTTACTGACCTTCTGTTGAATGAGATACATTGCTAGTGCAAACTGATCTTTGCTTAGCTTCCCCATCTGTCTTGTGTCTGCCAAAGCCCTGGTAAAAAATAGATTATACTTATAACCAAGAAAAGCTTATTTCTCCTCTACCAAGACGACTGAAATATACATATACATGTAATTTTCTTTTGATTCAGCCTCATCAGAGCTTGCTTATTCTAGTGAAAGAGTTCCATAAACAGAGCAGTATTTTATTAGACATATTTAACTGAAGAAAACAGCATTACTCTGAGAAAATATTTAGAGCGCTAGAACTTCAAAGAACAATCACAATTCACAGACTGACCTATACTCCCCTCCCAGAAAAGCAAAGTGAGTATTTATTTCTCCCTTGTTTTTCCATATAGCTCACATATTGTAGTATGGCAACAGGACAAGTAAAAGAGGTTGGGGTTTTTTTGGGGTTTGTTTTTTTTTTTTTCCCCTGGGTGGTTTTTTGGGGGTTTTTTTTTTTTAGGGTTAGGATCACAATTCTGGCTGGATAATTGGACTTCCCAGATCAGCAAGTTATAAAAATACAGCTACTAGGGAATTCTTACCATATATGTGCTAGGAGATTCTGAGACAGACCTGAATGCATAAAAATGTCCTTTACTTCTTGGCCACTCACAAACCCATCCATGTCTGTGTCTGTTTTTAAGAAAATTTCATCGTATCGCACTTTTTCAGACGTTGGTACTACCCAATTCACAGATGGCTGTAAAACAAAGTTTTCTATTTCAAAAGAAGATAAACAGTCTTTATCAACACACTGAGTATGTACGACATTATTCAGTCGGATGTGCTGAACATCTTGCACTATCAAATCTGACTGGTAAATAGGTATTTCCTCTTTTCCCATGAATGTTTTAGCTTAATACTTTTAAACTGAATTATAAATACTGATAAACAGCTATTCATCAGTTGAAAAACTTTCACTCTTTGGAAATACAGACCCAACTAGGCATACTAAGTCCTCAGGCTAATAACACAGGAGTTTTAGAAGGTAGATTAATGATTTCTTTGGTACTAAAGCAGATACATGAATAAAATCTTTCTATGGTTTCACTTTCTATGGAAAGTGAAAATTCCCCGTAAGATTTGCTACCTCATGGTCGCTCTGACTAAAATTCACCTGCTCTTCTTCCGTTCTTCCAAGTCTTACCATTCTAATTTCATTCCCTCCATCCAAACCACCCATCAACAAACGTTTTCAGAAAAGTGCTCACATGATGCAGAAATCAAAAAGCAGTTTTATTTTTTCCCTGCAGTTTACCGATACAAAGAAAAAAAAGGGAGGCCAGAAGGGAAGGGGGGGGGCCAGAAGGGAAG